AGGTAAGATTAAAAGGCATCACCCTCGCTGAATCCGAATCTGCTGTCGGATTTAGCCGATTGGCTCGTTTTTTCTAACCTCAAAAAACCGTTAAATTGTAAAAAAACTGATTTTAGAAAAAAAACGAGCCAATCGGCTATATCCGACAGCAGATTCGGATTCAGCGAGAGTCAATATATTCATGCTACTGAGATCCGCCAGACCGAGCACTTTTTTTTTGTGTGCCTGTGTTATTAGATTAAAAATACAACTTTTTTGTCTTTGGCATTTTTTCTCTATCAAGATATATTGCTTAATTTTCAAGAAAAAAAAACTAAATTGGATTATCCTCTAGTAATAACTTTTTCAGGGGCAATCGAATAAAATTTTATTTTTTGTTGAAAATTGTTTCTTGTTTTTATGTATACAATTTTATAAAACTTTTCTTCTTATTTTATTCACCACTTCCCAGATTAAAATTTGAGACACCCTGTATATATATGTATATACAGTGTGGCCCACTTAAGATGGAAACACCCCCGTAACTTTTTTATTTGTAACCCGATTTTATTGAACAAAGGCTCAAAAGATAGAGAATAAAAAACTCTATTAGAGCTGTTGTTTTCAAAGTCACCCGACACATGCCTACTATAATTTTTTTCTGTGTCAAAATTAAAAAAAAACATTTAGGGTAATTTTTACGAAAAAAATAAGTACACCACTGAATTTGGCATTCTTAAAAATGGGTAAATACCAAATTTCATTAAAAACAATCGATTGATAATTATTTTACAACGGTTTATTTATTTATTTTTTAAATGTTTATAACGACAATAGAAACACATATAAAAGGTTTAGGAAAAAAATAGGTACGCCACCGAGTTTGGCAGGCTTTAAAATGGGTATATACCAAATTTCATAAAAAATAAACAATTAATAACTATTTTGGGCAAGTTTATTTTTTTACGTTATAATCATTAATAATTAATTATTGCTACAAAACAAAAACTAAGATAGCTATGCTTACAACTTCAAACAAACGTCAAACCAAAAACAGGCGATTTGACAGAAAATATATTTTCTAATAAACTGTTAAAAAATACACAAAAAGGACGCTACTATAGTAGCGTCCTTTTTGTGTATTTTTTAACAGTTTATTTAAAAGTTCTTATCTACAATCATTATGGCCCATCAGTTTTTAGAGTACAAAGTTGAAATAATTTCGTTATCTTCTACTAAACGGACAACCATCGTTCAGCGAGAGAAGCAGAGAATTTAATAATATGCAACCTGAAAGGCAGCCTATAAGCAGTAGTACTTTTTTAACATCAATAAGCTATTTAATGAAACTGGTATGGTTTTAAAGAATTTAAGAAATAATAATCCACGTCAACAGCAAACACAAAATGATCAAATAATTCTGAATTATTTTAATGACAATCTTCAGGTAATATTAAGTTTAAGAAAAGCGAGCTTAGATTTAAATGTTTTAAAGAAATTCTTAAGAAGATGTTTAAAAATTAGTAAAGTAAAACTAAAATTTATACACACCCCACAGCCAGGAGATAAATTCATGTTTAAAAATCAAATTTCAAAGTGGGACTTTATGGTGTTAACGGTAGTATATACCAAATTTCATCAAAAATAAATAATTAATATTAGTCATAAATTGCTACAAAGCAAAAACTAAGATAGCTATGCTAGTAACTTCAAACAAACGTCCAATAAAACTCAGTTTATGAGGTTGTTACCTAACTTAAGTTTATTAATTTTTTTAAACAATATTTTATAACGAGCAATAGAACATAAAAAAGAAAACTAAACCCGGGAAGCTTCCACCAGTCCACCATTTAATTCAATACACTTATTAAATCTACGTAAAATATTCTTTTGGACTCTTCTCAATTGCTGTGGAGTTATTTCCTTACAGGCGTTGCGTATGCCGGCTTCAAGATCTGCAATGTTCTGAGGACGTAATTTATAAACTTTGTTTTTTATGGTACCCCATAAAAAAATCTAAAGGAGTGAGATCGGGAGACCTAGGAGGCCATCCGATTAATGGGCTATTGCGACCTATCCATTTATTTTCAAAATTTAAATTTAACCATTGCCTCACATTAACTGAATTATGAATCGGACAGCCGTCTAATTGAATATAAAGGTTTCTATGATAATTAAGGGGTAAATTGTCCAAAGCATTTGTAACTTCTTCCTGAAGAAATTCTAAAAAACTTTGACCATTTAGATTTCCATTTAAAAAGAAAGGTCTTATGACCCTATCTTTTAGAATACCGCACCACACGTTTACTTTTTGTGAATACTGACTTCTACAATTAATAATCCAATCTGGATTATTTACAGACCAATGTCTAATATTTTGAGATGAGACTACTCCATTAGTAGTAAAGGTTGCTTCATCAGTAAATAATACATGTTTAAAAAAATGTGGGTTATTGAGATATTCGCCTGTGCCCATAGACAGAACTCCAATCTTCTTTCATTATCCCCTGGCAGTTGAGTGTGTAAAAATTTAGGCTTGTAAGGTTTTACTTTATTAATTTTTAAACATCTTCTTAAGGATTCTTTTGAAATATTTAAATCTAAGCTAGCCTTTCTTAAACTTACTTTCGGATTGTTCAGAATTATTTGATCATTTGGTCTTTGCCGTTGACGTGGATTATTATTTCTTAACTTCTTTAAAACCATACCAGTTTCATTAAATAGTTTATGGCAGTTGAGTGTGTACAAATTTAGGCTTGTAAGGTTTTAGTTTATTAATTTTTAAACATCTTCTTAAGGATTCTTTTGAAATATTTAAATCTAGCTAGCCTTTCTTAAACTTAATTTCGGATTGTCATTAAAATAATTCAGAATCATTTGGTCTTTGCCGTTGACGTGGATTATTATTTCTTAACTTCTTTAAAACCATACCAGTTTCATTAAATAGTTTATTTATTTTAAAAACAGTACTACTGCTTATAGGCTGCCTTTCCGGATGCCTATTATTAAATTCTCTAGCTGCTTCTCTCGCTGAACGAACGTTATCTCCTACTAAACGGACAATTTCAATTTTGTGCTCTAAATTTAACTGATGGGCCATAATGATTGTAGATAAGAACTTTTAAATACACTGTTAAAAAATACACAAAAAGGACGCTACTATTTTCTGTCAAATCGCCTGTTTTTGGTTTGACGTTTGTTTGAAGTTGTAGCAATAATTAATTATTAATGATTATAACGTAAAAAAATAAACTTGCCCAAAATAGTTATTAATTGTTTATTTTTGATGAAATTTGGTATATACCCATTTTAAAGCCTTCCAAACTCGGTGGCGTACCTATTTTTTTCCTAAACCTTTTATATGTGTTTCTATTGTCGTTATAAACATTTAAAAAATCAATAAATAAACCGTTGTAAAATAATTATCAATCGATTGTTTTTAATGAAATTTGGTATTTACCCATTTTTAAGCATGCCAAATTCAGTGGCGTACTTATTTTTTTCGTAAAAATTACCCTAAATGTTTTTTTAATTTTGACACAGAAAAAAAGTTATAGTAGGCATGTGTCGGGTGACTTTGAAAACAACTTTAACAGCTCTAATAGAGTTTTTTATTCTCTATATTTTGAGCCTTTGTTCAATAAAATCGGGTTACAAATAAAAAAGTTACGGGGGTGTTTCCATCTTAAGTGGGCCACACTGTATATATTAGGGTGAGCCAAAAAAACTAACCTATCGGATTTATGGGTTAAAATGAACCTACATACCGAGCAAAAAATTTTCCTGCAAGGCAAAATTTTTTGCTCAATTTTAAAAGGTGTCGGTGAGCATTCTAAGTTTTCCATTGAAATAACACGTAAAAAAATCTTTTTTCATTAAAAAGACTATAACTTTTGAACCGTTTGAGATAAATTTTTTTACGTCGCGGATTCTTGTAGAGCATAAAATTTTCCAAAGAATCTATACCAGGATTATTTTTTTTAATTCAAAAATTCGTATGTTTGAAAGCTTTGAAAAGTGTAAAAAATCACTACAAACTGCAGTCTTTTTAATGAAAAAAGATTTTTTTACGTGTTATTTCAATGGAAAACTTAGAATGCTCACCGACACCTTTTAAAATTGAGCAAAAAATTTTGCCTTGCAGGGAAATTTTTTGCTCGGTATGTAGGTTTATTTTAACCCATAAATCCGATAGGTTAGTTTTTTTGGCTCACCCTAGTATATATATATATATATATATATATATTAGGGTGTCCCAAAAAAAAAAGAATATATTTTTTTTCTTGTCTCTTGTAAAAATATGTTAGTTTATCATGCTGTAAGAGCCCTTTCAAAATATCAGCTCGATTAAAAATTTTGTAGGGGTCGCTCAAGATTTTTAAAAATTTTCAAAATCGTCAAATATTGAATTTTTGTTTTATTTTAATTCTTTTTCTCGTCTCGATATTATTTTTTAGGTTGAAAATAATAAAAATTCTGTAAATTTCAAATCAATATTTTGATTTCTAAAGGTCGCTAAAAGTTGTTGATATTTATATTCAGAGGTCGCTCGAAAACATTCAAAATACTCTACTTTGAAAGTTAAAAAAATCTTGAGCGACCTTTAGAAATTAAAATATCGATTTGAAATTTTCAGAATCATTATTATTTTTAAATTAAAAAATAATATCGGAACGAGAAAAAAAATTAAAATTAAAAAAAATCCAATTTTTGACGATTTTGGTAATTTTTAAAAATCTTGAGCGACCACTAAAAATTTTTGAATGGTGCTGATCTTTTGACAGGGCTCTTAAAACATGACAAACCAACATATTTTCACAAGAGACAAGAAGAAAAAACATATTCTTTTTTTTTGGGACACCCTAATATATATATATATACACAGTGGCGGATCCACTGACTTCGGGGTCAGAAAATACAAAACTAGACATTTTATTTTCCTTACAAAGTGCATTTTTTTAAATGAAAGAATTTATCTTAATGTAATAAAGTTATTGATTTTTTTGCATTCCTAATTTCAGATGTTCCTTTGCCTCCTGGACCATCATGTAATAAACTCACCACTGATAGTCAACCCCTTCCTCCAGGTGTAGATTTGCTTGAAGAACCAATACCTGAGAAAAAAACTGTATGTACAATAATTGTGTTTAATATTTTTTTAAGCATTACAGGGTGTCCCGAAAATTTGGTGTATTTATCTGATGAGCAAACAATTGAGTTTCATCATAACTTATTATTTTTACAAATTGTAACTTTTATTTTTAAAAAGTCATTAGATAATTGTACGAAAGCGTACTGGGGTCACAAAATTATAATAAAATGATTTGTTTCAATATAAAAAAATACAATATATTGAAAGTAAATTTAATATATTAAAAAAAAAACAATTTATTGGAAATAAATTCAATTTATTGAAAGAAAATCCAATATATTGAAAAATATTTTTCATGTTATTTGTTTATGGATTTTCTTATGGATTTTCTTGCAACCATGGTTGCTTTTACAATTAAAGCTGTCAAGTGACGTAGCTGTGCGCTATTATTAACAATAAATAACAACTAACATTAACTTAACACGTTTAATAGACTTGAGTCTAGGGACAGGCAGTCACTGATGATCAGTGACTGATCACAGTCATGCGCATTGATGTAGCATCTCAGTTCATTTGGTGAATGTTGACTCTATGATACAATATAATGTAAAATTGGTAAGCAGGACCGGCTTAAGCCGTGCGCAAACATCATTGTTGCCATATTTTCAATTCAAACCAAATATAATATGTTTTTTTTCTACTCCAATTGCATAATATTGACATTATTTGGGTTTATTCCCTATGTAATCAAAATTATTTACGTTCCCGGACAACATTCGTGATATTCATACGAACGTCACGTCGTGATTTTCACAAATTTTATTCATACGGACATCATCCGGATGTCACTGCGTGAGAAATGAAAATCATGTTGTGATTTTTTATGCCATCGCTGTTTGCGATTGACCGATGGCACAAAAAATCATGTCGTGATTTTTTATGCCAAAGGTGTCTGGATCATCATTTTTGCGCCAAGTTCGTACACCAAGAGAAAAATGATATTGAATCAACAGTTTTTGCGGTTAAATACATTAAATATTTTCTTGGATTTAAATGAACTAGGTATATATAGTTAATTTAAATCCAAGAAAATATTGAATGTTAAACTGTTGATTCAATTGTTAACATACTTTTTCTTTCAATGTACGAATGTGTCGCAAAAATGAATATCCAAACACCGACGGCATAAAAAATCATGTCGTGATTTTTTATGCCATTGGTGTTTGGATATTTATTTTTGCGCCACATTCGTACATTGAGAGAAAAAGTATACCTACAATGTAGGTCCTACATATATATTGAATCAACAGTTTTGCTGGATTTATGCAGCACAAATTAACATTAAGATTAACATTAACATTAAGAAGTTAAATGAACGTAATCCATTGGAAGCTTTTATGCAACACATTAACATTAACTATAGCATCAAGTTAACATTAAGAGATGGCCAACTTTTATCTTCTTAATGATAATGTTAATTTTTATTCCTCCTGTGCAGGTTTGCGGCGCAATTTTTAAATAAACCGTGTCAGTAATGCCAACATACCCGAAAATAAAATGAAACTTACTGCTGAATGATTGATTTTTTATTCAATGATTGTGTTCTTTGGTTTATTGTGTGACGTGGAGTTTATAGTTTTCATTTATTTTACTTAACAGATGCTAAAACGGGATTAAAACAAAATTCAAACAAACCAAAAATGTCAGATGTCAAAATTACTTTAACTTATACGCATGCTTAATTTGCTACTAATTTTGCTGCATAAATACCCTCCTATTAATGTTAAATTAATCTTAATCTTAATGTTATATTAAAGTTAATCTTAATGTTAATTTGTGCTGCATAAATCCACCATTTTTGTGGTTAAATACATTCAATATTTTTTTGGATTTAAATTAATAGTTAATTTACATCCAAGAAAATATTAAATGTTAAAAACTGTTAATTCAATTGTTAACATACATTTTCTCACAATGTACGAATGTGTCGCAAAAATGAATATCCAAACACCGATGGCATAAAAAATCATGTCGTGATTTTTTATTACCAAAAACCGATGGCATAAAAAATCATGTCGTGATTTTTTATGCCATCGGTGTTTGGATATTTATTTTTGCGCCACATTCGTACATTGAGAGAAAAAGTATGCCTACATATATATTGAATCAACAGTTTTTTTGGTTAAATACATTCAATATTTTTTTGGATTTAAATTAATAGTTAATTTACATCCAAGAAAATATTAAATGTATTTAACCGCAAAAACTGTTAATGCATTTGTTAACATTCATTTTATCAATTACTATCATTGCAAAATTGTATTAAAAAGTGTTAAAAATTCTTACACGGGAAATGTTAATGGTGATAGGTATCGTTAAAGTGTTTATTGGGATATCTTTAAAACCTATGAAGGGCACGCGGCGTGGGGCAATAAGTCTGTCAACAGCAAATGCGTAAGGCGGTCCCAATCGAGACCGAAAATAAACACTGGACTGACAGAGTAAACTAACACTGATCACATAATTCTAACACATTAAAAAAAAAGGGCCTAATAGCCAAACTCGAGATTCGTAAACATTAGACAACAGAATAATCGCGCTTGTGATTTGTTTGACTAGTGAATAAATGCAATGCTTTGGAATTTGATAAACAAAGACAGAACTCTACCACAAAACGTGCTTGGGACAAAAATAATTAAAAACAACTGACACACTTTACCAAGGGCAGGAATTATCTGACCAGGACACGGACAATGACAATAACGAACAAGACAAAGACCTCGACTAGGAGACTACACCCCTGCAGCGAAATAACAACTCCCCAACTCCAAATAGTAATCCCAAATGTTTGGAGTAATACTAATCGACTGGTCTAGGGGGATTCCGCGTCGTACTTAGTTTTAAGTCGGCGTAATTGTCCCCCAAAAACCAACACCCTCCCGTCCCTCCTCCATACCCCACTGAGCGTATAGCATAGGCTCGGCGAACCCGGGAATGGCTATTATAACTATTCGCCTCTCGCTCTCGAGCCCCAAATAGGGGACAGTACGGAACGCAATGGACATTCGCACCCAGCAAACACGGGTGAAGCCGTGCAGTTGCTGGGGAAGAACAAAAATCGGCGTAAGTAAACATAGGCCTGTACGGGGTTCGAGAGTCAAGAGGAAATGGGGCTGGTTATACGTCTCTTATACTCATACTCATACATATATATTGAATCAACAGTTTTTTTGGTTAAATACATTCAATATTTTTTTGGATTTAAATTAATAGTTAATTTACATCCAAGAAAATATTAAATGTATTTAACCGCAAAAACTGTTAATGCATTTGTTAACATTCATTTTATCAAAATGTACGAATGTGGCGCAAAAATAAATATCCAAACATGTCATAAAAAATCATGTCGTGATTTTTTATGCCATCCGTGTTTAGATATTTATTTTGCACCACATTCGTACATTGAAAGAAAAAGTATACGGCCATTCCACGCGTAACGGATGGGACAGTTGTAAGTTTTTATTTACAAAATAACATTGTTCTATTATATTACTAATATCAAATTTTTATAAATAGTTCTAAACAAAAGCTGTTTAACAAGGTTTTTATTTGGCAAAATTAGGTATCGTGGTTGGCTGTTTAATTCCTTAAAAATTAATTTTTTTATTCAAAGTATTGTTTTTGAATAAAAAAAATAATTTTTAATTAATTAAACAGACAACCACGATACTTAATTTTGCCAAATAAAAACCTTCTTAAACAACTTTTGTTTAGAACTATTTATAAAAATTTAACATTAGTAATATAACAGAACAATATTATTTTGTAAATAAAAACTTGCAACTGTCCCATCCGTTACGCGTGGAATGGAATATCTTTTTTAATTGAACCCGGACAACATTCGTGATATTCAAACAAAATGTTATAAATTATAACGGTGTAATGTGAATAACAAACTAGGTTTTAAATTCGCAGTTCGCAGGGCTCATACGCATGCGCAAATTTTGCAAATATCACACTGTGAGTTCTACATGATATCACTGTGATGAAGCATGTGTATGCACTCAGGATATCAAAGCATGAAAGCGTGATATCATCATGACTTCACCAGGAAATCCCGATTGTTGTCCGGGTTGTTAGGCATCAGTGCCGATTTTATTATTTTCTGTGATTTTGACCATTTGGGTAGTTGCAAAAACATCCTAATTGTCCAACCTTAGTTTTTAATTTCCCTTTTCTTTATTTTATTATTTTTCTGAATAAAAATTATGCAATAGGAATAGAAAAAGCATATTATTACACTCGAGATAATGCGCATTATTTAATCTAATTGATTTACATCTCTCGCCTGGTGGCTCGGGATGTACAAGCCCTAACAACTATATGTTGGAACAAACAACTAGTTTACAATTAAAACGCTAGTTTACTGAATCAATTTAATTTTAATGTTTTTATATTGTAGAATTGTCATTTTATAACAGCTGTGGGAGAAAATTCTCATTATTGTATGATTGAAATTTATTTAAGTGATTCATGTTCAATAAATGCTGACAATTTAATGTTGGAACAAAACGTTTTAAAGTAAAAAAAAAATCAGATATTAATAAGGCGTAACGTCGCCTTTTGCCCGAATAACTGCCTGAACTCTATCAGGCATCGTATTCACAAGGCTTGCACAGAGTTCAGGTGTAAAATTATCCCAAATTTTGTGTAATTTGGTATGCAATTGTGGTATGGTTCGTTGTGGATTATTTCTCAGATGTTGCTTCATCTTGTGCCACAGTGTCTCTATCGAATTAAGATCCGGGCTGCTGGAAGGATGTGACAAAACCTTAATATTGTTACGATAGAAGATTAGAATAATGACGATTTTACTAGAACGCCTGTCTATTGAAAATAAGCTGCTGCGAGAATGTTCTCGAACACCCGGGACTATTCGCTTTGCGGTCTCGAAACGCGGCACCCCTCCAGTCCCGCGGTATTGCGATGCCTATATAAGCAAGTCGCGGCCTGCTAATTCAATTCAGTTAATTGGA